TGCCTACCTAAGGTGAGTTCGGCTTGGCAACTCTTTTAACTCCTTTGACTCTTTTCACTGCAAAATCGTTCGGGTCACGCCACTGGGAGCAAATAGTGCAAGCTCCTCATCGTTCGGGTACAGCCAAGTAGAGTGGAAAGAGTTAACTCCACAAGCACTCCCTTGAGAGATGAAGTTGGAGGACGTAGACCTATCTATTTTTACCTGGTATGCGCGCGCAACACGAGGCAATGGCTTTCTATTGGCAAACTAGTACAGGTAAGAGGTGTTCGTTTTGCACGCTGGACATCTCCTTGTCCTTGTTTATTGCCCGTGGTTTGAGAAGAATAAAAGTACGATTGATATTCAACTTGACATAGCTTGACAAGTGACATTCAAAAGTTGTTTTTGACAAATACGTTGCACAACGCGCGGTTTTTCTCCTTCTCTTTTCATCCTGTGTGAATAAGAAGGACGGATTGCTATACGTAAGTCCAACATAATTTGGTACGTTTTGCCTCGTCTTGCGCAATGAGCGTTCTGTGACTTTTTTATCTAATAAAGTTTTCGTATTATTACCTCTTTGTCTGGTAAATTAGGCTCTCCAAACCACGTGATTTTTCAATATGGCGAGCGTGGAAAATTTGACGTTTGTTTGTTTATCTTGAGTTTATTTGAAATATTTTTGAGCTAATTACAGTTTATTTTGTTTTAATATACTTTTTGAGATGCAGAGTGAATATTCGATGACTTTAGTGCAGGAAAATTGGGATGTGGGCGAACGATAAGTTTGAAAAAATGTCTAGTTGACATTTGTTTACATTTTGACCTACTTTTTACAGCAATGAGCAAATGAAGGCCTATAAAAGCTTAGATTCTTACAAGTCTTTCGAGTATAGCTTTATTTTAGATGCAGGAACAGTGGTACTCAATAATTTCTACGTTTTAATTGGAAAAATTTGAAAGGTTGGGCCGGGTTGGGCACTGAAAACAACCTGACATTATCCTTGTTCATCAACTAAGACACCTTTGTGGCATTTTTAATTAGAAAAAAGCCTAATGAAGTCAATAAAATGAAAAAAACAAATAGGGTTTAGTCACAAAACAACCACACAGTGCACTTTAAAAAGCTTTAAATTGTGTACTGTCATATAGGAAATAAGGAACTTCCGCCACGAACGCCATTTTGGAATAGTTTTGACAGGTTGTTGGAATGCCCACGGCATTCGCGTGTGGTGGCGGCTAACCTTGCTCCCTGCGATGCGTTCGGCTTAACCATTTCACTCTGTGATCACGTGACTATAAAACTGCTCTTTATCCGCTTCAACTCCGTATTGCCAAGCTGAACTCACCTTTAGTCTAATGTCGATGTTCTAATTAAGTTGTATTTCTGTATCCAAATTCGATATAACAATAATTTTTGATTCGTAAATAGATGGCGTCACCAATGTAACACTCGTTTTGTGGTTTTTGGTTGACGTAGTTTGTGTTTAGTTTAGGTTTTCGGCGGAAAATAAAGAATACTCAAAGCCTCGTACTTAAAATCGGTTTTCCCTCAGAGGGGTTTTCCTGATCGGAAAAGCGGAAAATCCAAAGAAAAACCATTGAAAAGTGACATTCCAGAGCCTGCTTGATGAAACTTAAGTTTTTGTTACTTACCCCGTTGAAAAACTCGAAATTTCTGATACAAAATGAAGGAAACTTAAAGCCTCGTATTTTAAATTGATTTTCCCCGATCAAAAACAGCCCGGAAAAGTGGAAAATTCGAGGAAAAACTGGATAAAAATGTAAACACGTCAAATGAAAGTGGCCGACTGTCAAAAATGACAAATGATATTTACTACAAGGCCTCCTTGATTGAAGTTAGCGACAAGCGGTATTGCGACATCAAAAGCATTTTAAATTGGATTTTGTTAATCATGGCATTTTAAAGTGGAAATTTTTGTTAGAAAATGAAGAAAACTCAAAGCCCCGTATGTTAAATCGCTTTTTTCCATTAAAAATCCCCGGAAAAGTCGAAAATTCGAGGAAAAACTGGCAAAAAATCACAAGACGTCACTTCAAAATGGCCGACTAAAAACAACATTGCCACATTACATCTCGGAAAACAAAAATAACGTTTTAAATGAGTTTTTTGTTCAAAATTCAATTAAAAATTGTTAAATAATTAATAAATAATGATTATAATAATTAAAATTCCCTAGATAAAGCATCGGAAACTTGTTTTTAGTTTAATTTCAATGAAAATGACATTACAAAGTTTACTTGTTGATTGTGTAAGACAAAGACAACGATAAAGTAGTATAAGTATGCAAAAAGTCAACTTGATAAAACTAAAGTTTTTAAATATTCCCGGCTCCTTGATTGGCGCTAAAAATCGCATTTTGAATATTCCCGGTTTTTGATTGGCTCCAAATTATCCGCTGACCAATAGAATTATAAACTCGGCCCCGTGATTAAAATAACTCTAGCTCGCGTATAACTCTGGCCCTTCGGGCACGCATATAATTAACAGTTTTCCCGATCGAAACCGGCCTGGAAAAGTGGAAAATTCGAGGAGAAATTGGATAAAAAAACTCGAAAATGGCTGACTGTCTAAAATGCCAAACGACATTACATTACAAGACCTACTTGATCAAAAGCGACGTTGCCATAATTACAATCTAACAGCAAGTTATTCCTCCTAGAGAAGGTCTTCCCAAACCAGGGGCGTCGCGTCGGGAGGGGTAATGGGAGTAATTCCCCTTCCCCCAGGATCGAATTATCAAGAGAAAAATCAGGATGCACAAAAAAAAAACATAATATATTAAGGAAAGTACATTTTTGTTTTATTTTATTTTTCTCATAAAGGAAATAATTGTTCTGAAAAAGTGAATGACCTTGAAATTTCCAAAAAATTTCGCCTGCGGCGCGTTTTCGGAGGGCGCCCCCTCACCATTTACCCTCCCCCCCAGACTGCTGGTCACGCGTCGCCACTGTCCCAAACACCATCCAAGAAGCGGTTACAAAACTGTACCTACCTACAACATATTACTGCAGGCCAAACCTAGAATATAGAGGTCTGGCTTTGCACACAGACCTCATTAGAGACTACAATAGTCTTGAAGCTGTACAGAGAACAGCATCACGATTGCAACTTGGTAGAAGACTTAAGAATAGGAAGATTGTTGGATTACGACTACTGCTGCTTCAGAAGCTCAAAGTTATCCCTTAAATGGGCGCTTTGCCAATTCCCATAAAAACGATGAGTGCTGCAACCATCCACGAAAACGCAGGAAAGGCAGTTGGCACTCAACAGGGAACGCAGGCAAGGCAGCCATCCTTCTAGTATACATGCGTCAGTTCAAGGGAAGAAGAGCCACGTAGACATGATAGTAGATCTGGAAAGTCAGGAAAGCCGAGCGGTCTAAGGTACTGCGTTTAGGTTAGACGGAATCATTATGGATATGAGTGAAGATATAGACGTAGAAGAGAAAATGTTACATCTTGACAGTCAGATCGGGACCATCATATTTGACGAGGAGGCAATGGTACGAGTGCCGGCCGGATTCTAGGAATTTCGTTGTTCACGTCCTTTCTGGGAACGATAGATAAACATAAATAGATCCAGTACGATTCTTCAACTATACAAAATTGCGCATAGTAGTAGTTATTAGTTATTGAATCAGTCTAAATAAGAGCTTCGTAGGGTAGGACTTAGTTTTAATGAGAATGTTGTTGTAGTCAGTAGTCAGTTTTAATACAAGATTTGTTGTGTACGTTTCGATGAGTGGAATATAAATTCAATTAGTTGTAGTGCATGTAAAGTGATTTTTAGTGAACCCGGAATCCGCGAAAATATCTGCAATCCTGGGTAACGGGTGTAGAATATGCGTCCAATTGTGTATACCTATCTATTTAATGAGTACTCCACAACCATTCGCTTTTTTGTATTATTCATTACTGGTCACAAGCACTTGGAGCCCCCTACGGGGAGCTGATCGGCTCGATTATTTTATCTACTGTCTGTTTTTGCACTTAGCGTCAATAAATTGTTAATCAACTGGAGAGTATCTCCAAGATATAACAATCATGGATATGGTTTCTCCTTAGTGATTGTCAAATTGCATAAGGAGAGAATGCAGAATAGCGGTTTGCTAATAAGGTCTATATTTTTTTATAGTCATTTAGTTTTGCAGGAACATTCAGTTTTGTTTACAGTTTCCTTACAACTTTACTGGAACTTTAACCACTGGAGCTACCTCTATCGACCCCCACTATTTGGATTAGGTAGAGCTGACAGAAGAGAAGAGAAGGTTGAAGTACTTGCAGTCTGCAGATATCCCTATCAATAGCGCAGTGGTTTTTTCTTATTTTGGTAGAATGGTGCTGTTGATTTTTTGATTAACAGAGCTGTGTGAAATGGCCTTTCTTTCCACAGTTGAAACACATAGACATTTTCGCAAGGACGTTTATCTCTGGTCTGGAATGTCCAAATTTATGTCATTATATAGATGAATCAGTGGTCATAGTGGTAAAATATTAACAAGCAATTCTACTATTAACTCGTTCGTACCCATTTTTATGCATGAGTATTGCTACCTGAAACTTTAAACATTCAAGAAACTTCTCTTTGACCCATTTAGAAATGAGAAGATTACTACCTTTAGCTCTACCAAGCATGATACACACTACTACTACAAGATGGCCTATCCTCATAAGGCCTGTGTGTAACAAATCCCCCCCTTCCTCCCTACGCCAAACAACCAGTTGTGACGTAAGCAGCATGGCGTTTCTTGCCTTGACATAGGCTGTTTAAACAGCCGACGACTTAGTTATGACGTCGGCAGTGGTTGAAAACAGTTGAAAACCAATATGGCGGCGATTACCAAAAAATAGGCCGATAAGCACTCCTTAACAACTCCTGGAAGATTCTTAAAAACTGTCAAAGGAATATCATCACTGTCGCATTTCTTATTCCTTTATGTATTATATCTTTCAAGTTTCAGTTCATATGTCTGTAAAAACCAAGATATATGTAGGTATATATTTTCAAAGAATAATTTATTAATGTAATAAATAATAACATACGAATATTTAACTATATAGAACGAAACGAAAACTACTTCCACTGTCCAACACTTTATTTATCAGAATACAACCATCTCCACCAAACTACCCTCATCCTATCCCAGACGTTCTCAAAACTGTCCATTGCTGGTCTAACATCCAGCAAAGCAAACTGATACTTGTTATTCATTTTTCCACCATCATAATAATCAATTACGTAACGTACTTCTCTGCCGCACCTGTCAACAATCCAATCGTGCCTGTCGAATGGTAGTTCATAGCCCATAAGATACCTGATTCGAGCCCTTGGACTGTAATCTGTTGCTCTTCCTCCGAAACTTTTTAGTCTCGGATCCATACACTCGTCAGCATGTAAAGCTTCCCATTTCAATACCTCTCTCCATGCCTGTTCGTTATTTGCATTGTGAATGTTAATTATATCATTCATATCTTTCGGGCTTATATCTTCTTCTTTCCATCTCCAGCCCTTTCTTAGCATGGCATTCCAAAACATTTGTGCACTAGGATAAAGCCAAAAAGGATTCTCTCCTTCCTCCCAAATGGCTTTTGGTATTGTGGAAAGTTGTCTGTCTTTTGATAAAGGAAACGGTTGACCAGGTGAAGGGTTTTGGTCAGCTAGACCCATCATATTCAAAGGATTGACATCATTTTTTCCGTGTTGAATTGGACATTCTAAAGCACTGAGTTGCTTTTCGTGCATAGGACATTCTTCTGGAACTTCAATGTAATTGCTCCGATAAAATGTGTGCCGGTGGAGAGTCTGACTTTTTTCAATTTCATTAGAGAGTTTCTTCATGGGTCCGTTGGGACTGAGAATTTCTGCGGCGACCTTGTCTGCTGCTGATATGGTGTTCCCCATGGTTATTTTATACAATTTTTATTCGAGAACACTAGAGGACGACTAAAATAATATAAATGAATTGATTGGAATTTTTTTCACACTCAAATTTTCAGACATAACCAACAATTTTTACAGCTCCGGCAGATTTTGAAATTTTGACAAAATGTGAAGTTTCAAATGAAGTTAGGCACAGACAGGCTTTTGAACCCTTAAAGGCTTGTTCCCACGAGACGATTTTAGTTAATCAACAAAAATCGTTCAACGTTCAATTAAAATCGCCTCCCGGGAATGAGAATGAATCTGAATTAAAAAGGGATTTAGGATTTGCGTTCATTTCCAAATATACTCAAAAATAACTCCCAACTTTAACACAAATTGAATGAACGATAATTTGCATATTTAATTAATAATTTTTCATTATTTTTCATGACAAAAACAAGTAATAGTATATTGTTGTATTAGGAGTAGAAGCTTTACTTTTTTGTGCTGAGCTTAATTGTAATAAATACAAGTTAGAAAGTAATGCAAGATGACATGCGCGCGCAACTCGTGGCTGCAGTGTAGCCAAAATGTATTGTTGCAGAACAAATATAGACAATACAAATCGAACATTGAACATTATAACATTAAAGAAGTGATATAGTGTCAAGTGTTTTACAACGCCTCAAATCAGACAAAAAAACAGCTTTAAAGTCTATGTTACCATTGTTTACACTTTTATTCTGATAAATGTTTCATCTGGCAACCAACACAATGAAATTGCAAAGGAATATATCAAGTATAATCTAACATAACCTTAAACGAAACTGCGGTGAGTTCAAGTAATACGTAAAGTATATTCTTTGAATATAAAATTACAGGAAGGAGCATAACTTCCAATCTGCGCGATCAAAATATGTGGAGGTTGCATATGGCCGACTAGTATTTCCGGTTTGGCAGTGGCGTATATTTATTTAAATATGATTGTCGATATTATGACTCACTCTTTTCGCACTAATCCCAGTGCTTATTATCACTTAAAACCGCTAAAATCCATTAAACATCCACTTGAATGAAGACACAGCGAACCACCAAAAAAAATGATGAGTCCATACTTGGAGGCTCAATATGGCCGTTTTCGTCTCTGCGTTGTCTATAGTGACAGATAGAAAACGCTCCTTCCTGTAGTTTTATATTCAATCAAAGAGTATATTAGTTTGGTCTTTGTCGAATTAAGCGGCGTTTCCACAAGCATAGTTTATTGGCGCCAGTGCACGTGCCAGTTTTCTGGCGTAATAATAGTGGCGCCAGTATCTGTTTCCATTTGATATCAAAAACTTTCAACTGGCGCAGTAGAAAAATAGAAAACGGCGTGAACTTTAATGATTCAAGCAGGTATTAAAATGTTGCTGTGGATATTTTGTTTCCAGAATTTTTGCAGAAGACCCGAAAAAACAAGAAGAAGAGACATAAATACAAGATCTGGGTACGAAAATGAATTTCACGCAAAAAAGCTCTTCTAGGAGCATCAAATAATTTACTGTCTGAGTTAGCGGATGAAGACCATGAAGCATTTCCAAAGCTTCCGATTTTGCTTTTAGCAGATACGTATCGATAAATCCTTGTTTAGCTGTACATGTTTGGACAGCTGTATTAAGTGGAATATGTGTAAACACATACCTACAATTACTGTCCTATTTTTGATTGATTCGCCGCCATCTTGTTCCCAACCTCTTGCTACTTTTAAATATGAATAATATGGGATTTAGGTGAACATTCATCATAAATCATAGAAAACAACATATATGATGGACCTAATAATGGTCATCAAATACGTCGATTTCAATTTTTTATGATAGATGTCCATTTAAATCCTATATATTAATATTTAAAAGTAACAAGAGGTTGGCAACAAGATGGCGGCCGGACCTCTATTGTCGCCGCTGTACGTAAAGGTTTACTTAGCCACTGTAGCGTAGCAATGGTTAGGTTGGTATAATATCATATAGCTGGTATAATGTGCATTTCTTTCGGGGATACCCGTATTTCCTGTGATATCCGAATTTGTTTTTAATATATTGTCATTGCCCCATTCTTCCGCCAATGCCCAATGTTAAGCGCACATTCTCAGCAATAAATCGAATGAAAACAGCACAAAGAAATAGACTTTCCATGGAAACACGAAACACCAGTGATTGTTTTTTTAGCTTTTACATACTCAACGACATTTTGGGCAAATAAAGAACCGATAATAGTCCAAATTTGACTATTGATTTGTTAAAATATTTCCCTTGGTCTCATGTATAAAAAATCCCATAAGAGGAATGCAATTATTATTGAAAACTTACAGCTGTAAGGTACCGATAATTTTGCCTGCAGGTCCAATTTCGGAAAATATTCCCCTAAATAGCATTCATGCGTCAAAATAACCAGATAATTTTGCGTTAAAGCGTGTTCAAAAGAACCCTCTGCGGTGTCGGGCTCTTTTGCAGAAAAGATGAAAATCAACACATGCAGTTTTTAGAAAACACGCTTTCATCCAAAATTATCGGTAATTTTGATGCACTTGTGCTATTACCCCGGATAATTTTTCAAGACCCTAGCTAACATTGCATACGTAACCTCACTTTCGACGGAGGGACAAAAATAGTATAGATTATACCACGAGTCAATAATGATAGCTATTATTCCCGAGGATTTTTTTTTTTTTTTATGGATATGCGCACTCGCAAGGAAATGTCCTATCACGCTCGAGAAGCGGCAAGTGCGCGGAAATGTCGGTGTATGTTGGTCTTGAAACGGTTCAGGTTGTAACCTGCAGGGAAAACCGTCGCAGGGAGTTTATTCCACAGCGATGCTGTTCTCCAGAGATATGAATTCTAATATAATGAGGTTCTTGGTACCTCTAGTTTGACAATAAATTCATGGTTACCGTCTGTTTGACGGGTTCGCCTGGTAGGTGCTACTCTCGGTGGAATCATACGTGCCAACTCTTCAGAGCATTTTCCGTGATAGTACCTGTAGAAGAGAGATAAATCGCCCACAGATCTGCGATGTTCGAGACCATCCAAGTTACGAGTAAGTGCGGGGTCATTGATCAGCTTGATAGTATTAAAAAGCAGGCGGGAGGAAAAATGAAACACACCGACTTATTCAACTGTCCGAAAGGAACTACTTTTTGTTTTATTAGGAAACAATAACATGTCTCCATAGAATCGTGTCTCCAAGGACTAACAGGTGACAATACTGACAAAAGCAAGACTAGGTATACATACTACATACTACTGCTACTATAGAGGGCGCGCTATGTATCATTTTTTATTTTTTAAGCTAATATCAACACCCCCACTAGGTAAAACAATAAAAATACAATCATATGTCATTAACAATTCCAAGACTCTTCAAAAACTTATAATGTTTAACAGAAGGCAAAGCTTTAGTCAAGACGTCAGCCTCCATTTCACTTGTTTGTATATATTCAAGATTTATGAACTTATTAGCAACAACATCTCTAATATAGTGGTGTCGAACATCTATGTGCTTTGTTCGCTTGTGATATACAGGATTATTACACAATTTGATTGAGCTTTGGTTATCACAATAAAGCTGAACACAATCAAAAGAGCCTTTAATCTCACCTAGCAAATTTCTCAAGTAAACTGCTTCTTTCGAAGCTTCAGACAAGGCCATATACTCGGCTTCTGTCGTTGACAGTGCTACTGTCTTTTGCTTAGTACTTTCCCATGATACAACACAATCTGAATATTTAAAACAGAAGCCAGTATAAGACCTCCTATCAACTACGTTGCTACCCCAGTCAGAGTCTACAAAACCCAACAATTCACTAGAACCCTTTTTATATTTGAGACCAATATTCTTGGTTTTCTGCAAATATCTTAAAACTCTCTTAGCAGATTTCCAATGACTGATATCAAAACAACTATTGTACTGACTGAGATAGCTGACTGAGTAGGAAATATCAGGCCTAGTCATGACAGCCAGGTACATTAATCCACCAATAAGCTGCCTATAAGGTAATGACGAATCACAATTTTTGTCACCTTTATTCAAATTTAGACCATTTTCCATGGGAGTTTCAACAGTTTTACAATGAACCATGTTGAATCGAGTCAATAGTGAATCAATATACTTCCCCTGATCGAGAGTTATGACTCCATTTTTCTTGTCAATATACACATTCACACCCAAAATCTGTTTGGCTTGACCCAAATCTTTTAATTTAAAATGACTTGCCAATTTTTCTTTTAGATCTTTAGTTTCAGCTATGTCATTTGAGAAAATTAAAAAATCGTCAACATAAAGAGCAATTACGGTAAGTAAATTCTTGACACGTTTCATAAAAACACAAGGTTCAAACTTTGATTCACTATAGCCTAAGCCCAACAGTACATCCTCGACCTTCTTATACCAGACACGTGACGACTGTTTCAACCCATAAATTGCACGTTTCAATCTCAAGACTTTGTTTTCATGACCTGGTTTAATAAAACCCTCAGGTTGTCTCATGTAAACAACTTCGTCCAAGTGTCCATGCAAAAAGGCCGTGGTTACATCCAAGTGACTTACATCTAGACCTAAATCTACTGACGAAGCCATTAGTAACCTAAGTGTAGAATACCTAACAACTGGTGAGAAGGTTTCACTATAGTCCACCCCTTCTCTTTGGGTAAAACCCTTTGCTACCAACCTTGCACGATAGCTTTTATTATTTTCAGAATCACTTTTCACTTTATAAATCCATTTACACTCAACCACTGTGCCATTCTCAGGTAAGTCGACAACTTCCCAAGTCTCATTTTCATCCAGATTATCCATCTCTTCTTGCATAGCCTTTCGCCATTTGTCATTGTCGTTTCTAGCCATAGCCTGTGAGAACGTAGCTGGAAAATCTTCAAAACAGCTGTTGCCATCTGCAGCACTCAGGTAAGTAACGTAATCTTCAAATTTCTTTTCTTTTCTTTCTCTTCCAGATTTTCTTACTTCTTCTACCTTCTGAGTTTCAGCCTCAACAGCATTATTTGGAATATAATCCGAGTCTGAATCGTCCAAATCAATAAATGAACTTTCTTCACTGATATTCTCAACGGCTGAGTTAAAATCTAAATCCCCCACTGCTTCTGACATTTCATCAACTTCTTCTTTGTTTACTATTTCTGACATATTT